CTACTCTCTCTGCCCTTCAGAATGGATGCGACCCTTTTCCCGGGGGCTTTGACAGTAGTCAGGGAGGCCGTGGAGGCGGTTAGCCAGTTTAAGGACTCAAAGCCCTTACTCGAGCAACCCCTCACCTCTCGCGCTCGGCCTTCCGTCCTTGCCAGTGCTTACCCTTCTTCATCAGGGAAGCAGGCGCCTAAGTGGACTGCTCCACTACAGGCACGTAAGGGCAAGGGCAAGGGTAAAGGTAAGGGTAAGGGCAAGGCTGCTTCCTCTCAGCAGCCTTTCAGAGGAAGGGGAAGTCGGCCCCGGCTTCCCATTAAGCTATCCTCCGGAGCCCTTAGTGGTCCCGGCACAAGCAGTTGTTACACTGCCGACCGCCGGGATTCATTGCCTGTTACCCGACGTCGCTGTCGGCGTCCGACTACCTCTGTTCCTTCGGGAGTGGGAGAAAGTCACGTCAAATCCCAGGGTCCTGTCCACACTCAGGGATGGCCATATGCTGCAGTGGAAGCGAGGCCCTCCTCCTTTCTCTGGGATTCGTTGTACTCCAGTGCTGACTTCTCAGGTGAAGGCGGATATACAGTCGTTGCTTGACAAGGCAGCCATCGAGGTGGTACCTACGGGCCAGGAAAGTCAGGGGTTTTACTCCACATATTTCCTGGTTACCAAAAAGGATGGAGGATTCAGGCCCATTCTCAATCTAAAGGGCCTGAACAATTTGATAGAGGTACCATCCTTTAAGATGGAGACACTGCGCTCAGTGATCTCATCTGTGGAGGCAGGGGATTGGTTCACGTCAATCGACCTCAAGGATGCTTACCTCCACGTACCGATGCATCCTGAGTTCAGGAAATACCTCCGGTTTTCCTTCGACGGGAGGTGTTATCAGTTTCGTGTACTCCCCTTCGGCATCTCCACGGCGCCAAGGGTGTTCACAAAACTCATGTTAGTGCCGGCTCAAGTCGCCAGGGCACAGGGCAACTTTTGTTACCCCTACCTGGACGACTGGCTCCTAAGGGCACTCGCCACCCACTTGAGTCGGGATTCCACACAGGCAGTGATGGATATTCTCACCAAGTTGGGTTGGATTATCAACCTCAAGAAATCAGAGCTGGTTCCAACACAGGGTCTGGTTTTCTTGAGGGCGAGATTCGAGACACAGCAGGGTTTAGTCTCTCTGTCTCAGGACCGCATTTCCAAAGTCCAAAGGATTGTTTTACAATTCCTTCAGTCCCCCAGGGCCTCAGCTGGCACATGGCTTCAGCTGTTAGGCAATATGGGGGCGACAGTGGACATAGTTTGGCGTGCGCGTCTGAGGATGCGACCAGTTAAGGAAGCGTTACCGCAGCTGTGGTCCCACTCGGAGACGATTCTCCTAACTCTGGAGTGACTTATTCCTCACTTGCGGTGGTGGACTGACACCGGGAATCTATCCAGAGGTATTCCGCTGGAGACCCCGGTGCCCACGCTCACAATCCAGATGGTCGCCTCCCTCACGGGGGGGTTGGGGGTGGGGGGAGAGAGAGAGAGAGAGAGAGAGGACCTCACAGCTTCCGGCCTTTGGTCTGAGAACGAGGCCACCCTGCACATCAATGTGCTAGAATTGAGAGTGGTCCGGTTGGTGTTCAAACGCTTTGTGGAGCAGGTTCGGAGCAGTTTGGTTCATCTAGAAGTGGACAATCAAATGGCGATGTCCTACATCCTGAAGTAGGACTGTACGGTGTCTCCATCACTCCTTCAGAAGGCGTGGCATTTTCTACTGTGGTGCGATCAGTTCAACATACGGGTTAGGACAACGTACGTGCAGATGCGCTCTCACGTCGTATCCTGGCCCCTCACAAGTGGTTACTCGACCGGGAGATATTTGGGATTATCTCCCAGTTGTTCGGGTCGTTCCAGGTGGATCTGTTTGCCTCTGGGGTGACAAACCAGCGATCGCCTCCGATGCCTTCCAGCTCGATTGGACAGACAGGGTTCTGTGGACTGTCCGACCGATACCCCTGATCTCCAGGGTCCTATCGCGAGCTAGCCACACCCAGCCAGCGCGACTACTTGCTTGCACCTCTTGGCCACTGTCCGAGTCGCCGCCTCCAAGCGGGCGGAATTCCTGCACCAGTTGCAGACATAATTCTGGCTTTGTGGAGGGATTTGACTAACGTACAGTATGAGGATAGATGTGCTTGTTATGCCCGCTGGTGTGGAAACAGAGGGATACTTGATCCCTTTTCTTCGACTGTAGTTAAGGTGTTGGAGTTTTTACAGTCTCGGTTAGAGGCCGGCCTAGCCGCGTCTACTATCCGAGGCTACTCCATGACTATTTCAGCCTTTCACATTCCTGCTGAGGGTGCTCTTTTGGGACAACACCCTCTGGTCCAACGTTTAGTAGCAGCTGTGGACAGAGTGCGTCTAGCTGTCCGACGGATAAGTCCCCCATCGTCAGATATGTCAGATTTGTCTCTCCAACTATTGAGTTGGAAAACAGCTTTTTAGGTGGCAGTCACATCAGGTAGACGGGTTGGTGACATTCATGCTATGTCATCGGACCCGGAGCTTACCATTTTTCGTAAGGATAGGGTAAGCATTCGAATACCCGATTCCTACCGCCCTAAGATCACTAGTGCGTTTCAGATAACGGCACTTATTGATCTTCCCGCCTTTACGCTGCCTGCTTCGTCTGGTAACACAAATGCCGAGCGCATGTGTTAGACGTACGCAAGACTCTTAAAGCGTATATCAAAAGAACAGCGTCTCTCCGTAAGGAGAAACAGTTATTCTGTTGCTATGGCGGTGGCAAGGCCGGTCATCTGGCTACTACACAAACCTTATCTAGATGGATTGTGTCTGCGATTTGTATGAGCTACATACACAAAGGCGTATTCCCCCCGAGGGGTTAAAAGCTCATTTGGTTAGAGCTGTAGCCATGTCTAAGCTGTATGCCGCTGCTCTGCCCATTGAGGAGATCTGCTCCGCGGCTATTTGGAGCCGACCGAGTACGTTCATCCACCACTATCACGTGCTCGGTTTGGCCAAACGGTTCTCCACAGTGGGCAGAGTAGCACCTCTCAAGCCGAGTGAGCCTTGTCGATGATGTACTCTGTTTTACACTTGGTGTCGGGGTTCTATTCCTCTCCCATTTTATTGGTGATGGTATATGGTGGTGGTTTTTATCCCTGTTCTACTCTGGTATATCGGTTACCATGCTTGGCAAGCAGTGTACTATGGACAGTAGTTTGTTTTGGCGAGTTCCCTGTATTCACTCACTTTCACCTATCAGGTTAGGAGGTGGAGTTTATCACGGTGGGTGTGTCACCGATAGGCCAATAGGCATATAAGCTTTGACATCCCGGGTCCTCACCCTAGCCACGGCCCCGCCTTGATTGACAACGGCGGTCACGTGACTAGGTAAGTGTAATTCTCTATTTCCGTAAGGTTGTAGATCGTTACTTCGATTGGATCAATGTGTCAGACAGAATACCACTCCCTGTTTTATTGTCTTTGGGAGTCTGTTTAATGTTTATATGTACCCCAAGGAGGACTTCTTCTGAAATTTTTCTATAAAAAACTGGAGAGGTTATGAATTCTTTGAAGAAAGTCCTCCTTGGGGTACGGCCACCCGCCTCCCCTCATTCTGTCTGATTACGTTCAGCATGAAAAGTGAGAGGCGATGTTGTCGGCTAGAGTTACCTGCTCTTGCCGGTAGGGGGCCCCTCAGGGGTTCTGTATGGGTGGTCTCACAAGACTGTACCAGAACGTAATCTTTTAATGTTCTTTACATTGCCGGCAATGCCTTGGATACCCTTCGACACAGCAAATGGGTTCAACTTCAAGGGTGTGTTGTCTTTGGTCTCAATTACAACAAAACGTGGCCAGTAATCAATTTGTTTGGACAATCTGAGGTCGTCAGCAGGATCATTTTCAAGAGGACGTTTGCTCTTTTTAGTGGGGGTTTCGTAAGCCATGTTTAGTTATTTAGATTTCATCATCCGAGCTCCCCACCCACCACGGAGTATCACAAGGACAATGCTAAAAACACGTGGATTTCCAACTTGCAGAACCAAGGATAGCCGAATGAAATACTCCAGCAGGAAAATTAAAAGGTTATTAATTCAACCAAATTGACCCATGAGCCACCGCCTTCTGGGCATACGACTGTAGGCAATAACATACATGAAAATATGAAATTGAAATTCTGCCAAATAATTCCGCCAAGACTTAAATAAATCATGTTATCAATTCAAACAATTCAGAAGTTGTAGCACAAGGCTCGGCATGACCAGCCGATTGATTGAACCGTGCCCATTCAACCACCCGTCTAGGTGAAGTAAGGGGCAAAGTGGTGTGTTGGGCAAGGAACACTGTTCCTGGAACCCAGTGCCCTCAACCACCAGACTCCCGTCCTCCACCGACACAGGGGCGCAACCCACGGCAAACAGGTTGGTGGACCAAATATACCCCCGGGTCCACACAGGGGGTTGAAGAGCTCTTGGCGTTACTAGGGTTGGGACGATTCACCTATGCACCGATGCATCGCGATACTTTATAGTTTGATATAGCTATCGTATCGTCGATTGGTGTATCGATACAAAACGATACACAAATTTTTTTCAAACCAGTGTTATCTTATGCACATTAAGGTACTTATTTAGAGAAAAATACGCAAGTTTTAAAAGTCTACAACTCTACAAGTTGTCTGTTCAGTAATATTCGGCCACTACCGGACGTTCATTTTAAATCTTAGTGCTGTATCACTCTTTCAAGGTGTTTGTATCGTGATACGTATCGTAATGCAGGTAAAATATCGCGATACGTATCGCATCAGGACATAGTGTATCGTCCCAGCCCTAAACGTTACCCAGCACCCACCATGAGGAGGTGGCTCTTCACGGGTGCCTGGAAAGCAATGAAAAATCAGCTTTAAAACCAGGATCTAGACACCTAAGGGACACAACTCTGCACAGCAAATTGCAGTCACTGTGTCAAAACTATCCCTTGTAATAAGCAAGTACCTGGATTCTCTTTCGGGACCCGGAACTTCTTGAGAAGCAGCCATGATATGTGTTTACACAGATCCTTCTCCTTCTTGAACACAGGACAAGTACAGCTGTGAGGGTCTCCCAGGAACACCTGTAGGACACAGTGGGATCAACAATACAATTGTGGCATGTGGTCCTGTGCATAGCGCTCAGGTCACAAATCAGTTGAAGTTAAGCAACGTTGGGCTCGGACAGCCCTTGGATGGGTGACCGTGTTTGGCAGCTTGACTCCTGAGAGTTTCTAGGACTTCAGTCCTGCCCCACAACGAAGCACATGTGATACATGTGGTCACACCTTAGGCAAGTGAGTTTGTTCACAACTGCCTCTGTTCACCAGCAGGAAATGGATACCCGGTGAAATAAGTCGGGAGACTATTAACCTTCTAGCGCCTAACAGGCAGCTTGGGTTATCGGGGGTAATAATGATCAGATTGTGCACTTTGCGCAGGATATCTAGCCTGGAAAAGGCGCGTTATAAATATTCTCATTAATATTATTATGATAGGTTTAAATACTCTTATCAAAGGAGATCACACTCTACTTATAACACACGGTACCATTATACATGTAATATGTTTACGCATTCTGATCAAAATGGATTGGCAAAATGGAGTGTGGTATTAAACAACAAACCAGAAACCAACCAACCGAGTACAGTAAATCGTCAGAATTCCTAACAACAGTCCAAATATTTACACAAGCTCCACGGACATGATGGAAAGATTTGGTCAGGTCATACAACTGATTACAACACAATCAAAACTGTTTGTATCCCATCTTGCCCATGTCACATGTAAGACATGTCTCACATATCTCACAAAATGTCTGTGAATTTTCGGCAAAGCTAATAGGGCTGTGCAATGTAACCAGTTTACCGGTATTTACCAGTTCAGGCATAAAATCGATACGTATTGCGATACGCTAATTGAAAACTGGTATTTTGACATGTATTCGTTAAACTTTGTAACATTCAGAAATCAAGGGATAATTCCATTTTTGACAATGGAAGTCATAATGCGTTTATTGTACAGTGGCGACCCCCCAACAATGAACAATTTATTGTGGTGCCAAATACTAGGGCAAAGGCTTCAGTATGGCAGCATTTTCGGTTGAACCACTATGTTGATGTTAAATTGTTCTTTTCCTTGTTTTATTTGTGCCAAATATTATTTACATTTCAATTTTGTCATGATTAAAAGTTTTTATTAAAACTTAATCAAGCATAGTGATTTGTTGTGTTTTTGCTTTATAAATCAAGTATTAACTCGATTATAAGCATTGGTTCTTGCAATATATTATAATACATATGGCAATATATGCTTTCGCATCGCAATATATTGCAATATGAAAATTCTCTGCAATCCCCACCCCTAAAAACAGACATAAGAAATCAACATTAGGCTGCACTTTGTGCAAATTTCCTCATTTGCACCCAAAATACCTTGAAGTTCTTGCTTTCTCCTTCTTCTTTCAAAAGAAATCCTGTTGGTCCTGTCTCTCGCAGGATGTAAATAGTTGCATTTTGGGCTTCGGCCTGGTGCCAGCAACAGGCATCGGACAATGCCCGACGCCAAGGAACACTCCGTGACATCTTCAGATATCAGCTTCTGTATCATCTGCAATCACAGAATAGATAAACATAGAGCAGTCTCCTGACATGTTTAATAGTGAATGTGTGTTATCTGTTGGATCAAAACAACTCATTCATTACAATTTGTGACTTTAACTACTTGTCTGAAGCCTGAGGCAAGTAAAAGTTTGTTTAGTCCAGTAGTAAGTAAGCTTTTTAGCAATATTCCAGCAATATCACATTGTGCCTATATGGGGAATTGAACTTGGGTTATTGGAGTGCTGACTGAACGCTTTAACCACTAGGCTACCCCGTTGTCCCGCTTTGTCCAGTAAGTGAAGTTTATAATAGTACTTACAATAAAACAAAAGTCTGCTGAAGACTTAGACTGATTGCTGATTGACTGAGTTTAGTTTTACCCCGCTTTTAGCAATATTCCAGCAATATCACGGCGGGGGACACCAGAAATGGGCTTAACACATTGTGCCCATGTGGGGAATCGAACCCGGGTCTTCGGCGTGACGAGCCAACGCTTTAACCACTAGGCTACCCCACCGCCCTCTGAAGACTTAGAGCAAAGTTTGAGCTAGAAGTCTCAAAAGCTTTCATCACTGACTGTTTTCACGGTTTATGACAGTCAACTTTATGAAATCTGCATAAACTGGTTCTTGAACAGTTTCTGTTTTCATTCACATGTTATTATATTATATAATATATCAATACAAAGTAATGTACTGTATGCTTTGGATACAGTAGCTGTATATCCATGTACTGTACTGTGAGCACCATATCTCGATACAATACTATACCGCCATGTCGTTGAACTACTGCCAGTTAAAAAGTGAAACAGGACTAGAAATGTGGAATGTGGAAATTTCTTGAGAAATCTATTACCACGGTCATCTTTGGTTTAATATGATATAACTATGCATGAATACTGATTATTAAATTTCTGTACCTGATATTACCATAGCAGACAGTTTTGTGAGAGTCATTAATGAATAGAGAATCAATGGTCCATGTACAAGATTTACTCTTATTGATGAAAACATTGATGTGGGCACTGTATTATGCATAACATGTCATGTTAAATTGTTGGCAATTCTTTTACTGTTGGGTTAAAAATTTTTGTTTACAAAATTATTTCTTCAAAGTGACAATATTTTACAAGAAAATTGTCTGGGTAAAACGATTACAAATAACTGAACTCATCTATAAAAGTCGGATTGGTTTCCTCTGAACAATATACACATCAGTGTGAGGATATACATAGATTTTCGGGCTCAACACTCGCAACTTTGGTCATTCCGATTCCTAGTTTTCACACATAATTTGTCTCTTTTGAAGTTTTCAAACTTAAGTTTGTGAAACGTTTAGCAAGAGTATCAGAACAGGGATTTGAATTTATCTACTCATCGTTTCAGAAAGTAAAATAACAAATTACTCTCCAAGCCTTTCAATGCATTTCTGATCCAATTCTACTTGCGGTGTTATGATCGCCGCCATGTTGTTTAGAAGTCTCCAAGTACCTTTGACCTTAGAGTTAACTCCCTTGCTGAACACTCGCCAGATCTCGGGAAGATTCGTCAATCATTCCGTGGACGGTCAGAAACCGGGTTGTGCAATATTGGTTGCTTGGTTTGAGTTGAACGCCACACTCAGCAATGTTATAGCTATATGGTGGCGGTCTGTAAGTAATCGAGGTGTGTATGTGTGTGCGTGCGTGCGTGAGAGAAAACTATATGAGATGGTTTGGTTGGTATTTGTTTTCTTGGTTTTTATGTTTTGTTTTGTATTATTTTTTTATGTTTCACTAGTTTGTTATGTGGGATTATAAGCGACCGAAAAGGCCAGTTTTGATAAGAAATTTCCCTAAGGCTTTGAAGGTTTGGCTTTGTTAGGTTGCGTTAGTATTCAGTGAACTCTGGAGCACCATGTAATGTAGTAGCCTGACGTGTTCGGGCGTTTCTGTTTCTTTGCAGTACGTGTGTGCATTTGTTTGGTGTTTTTATATTTTATGGGATTGACTTAAATTTTATGTGACCTGTTTGTAATTTCATTATCGTCCTGTCAATATTTTTGGATTTATGGCATTTTTTTTTAGTTTTAGTTTAGAATTGGAATTTTGGTATTTACTTTGCCACTGTAGGAAGTTTTTGTTGTTGTTTTGATAGGATTTTTATTTCGTTTTTAGATAAGGTTATGTTTAAGGAGTGAGTGACTGAGTTTAGTTTTACGCCGCACTCAGCAATATTCCAACTATATGGCGGCGGTCTGTAAATGTCATCCTTCTCCACCCACACCACAAACATGGACGACATATGTCCGCACACAGAAGAGGAACAGAAAGAGAAAGGGTGCATATATGTGGTACTCGGGTGCATGGAAGGCTTATGAATGACCAAGTTCGGACGAATGTAATGATTTTGGAATGAATGTTCATTTTATTCATCTTTGCTAATTAGTAATATTTACTGTTTAACTATGGACAGTTTTTATCTCAACCAAAACATGTGAACAATGGTGATGTAGCGCCCCTTGTATTGCACAAATGAGGATAGATACGGAATTCTATTTCACATATATTCACAGAATGACAGAACCGATAAAGAGCCGGTATCTTCACCAACACCAACAAGAAACACAAGCTCCTGCTGTCCAAGTTCACCTAAAGATCCATCAACATACCATCTATACACACCATCAATAACCGTGAAGGTCCCGGTTAGAATTGGTCTTCAGTAACCCATGCTTGTCGTAAGAGACGACTAACAGGATCGGGTGTTCATGCTCACCGACTTGGTTGACACATGCCATCGTATCCCATTTGCGTAGATCGATACTCATGCTGTTGATCACTGGATTGTCCGGTCCAGACTCGAGTATTTACAGAGCGCCGCTATATAGCTGAATATTGTTGAGTGCGGCGTTAAACAACAAACCTACCAACCAACCATCAGACTGTCAAGGTACCTTATTACTAGCAGAGCATTACATACATAAGATACTTCCTGCATATAAGTGTTGTTTGCTGTTGAATGGACTTGTGTACTATATCTCCATGTCAAGGCATATGTTGCTTCATCATATCCAGGACAAAATGTCAGGAACACATCACCCCTGTGCTGAGGCCGTTTCCATCCATACGGGGTACCCATTCACAGCTGGGTGGACTGGGACACATAGTCACAGTACTTTGTCCAAGTTTACTGCACGTTGCTGTACCTGCAACTTGGTATTTGCACGTATTCATGTGGCCACCATCTGGTCATTTACCAACGGATTCGTGGGTTCTTTTAAGTGCACATTATAATGACTTTTTCATCCATGATAAAAAAATGTAATGCGGCATATAACCACCAAGCATACATACAATTTACGTTGCAAAGATTTGGACGTTTGGGTCAAGGAAACAGATGTACTGTTCCTTCATTTGTGGTTATGGCCATAAGGAGGAAGTTCACAGATCCCAGAGGAAACAACACAGGCTACAAAGCAATGTAAATTAGTCAATTTTGTTTTTTGTATGTTTTGTATATGTTGTATGTATGTTGGTGTGTGTTTTTATGTATTGTATGGTTGTTCCCGGTACTGGACAGCATCGCCCAAACGCAACGATCCTCAAAAATAGCGTGCGCCTGCTGGCTGCACGTGGACTCATAGATTGTGGCGCATGATCAGATTTCAATTGCAATCAGTCTCGTCTTGGTCTTCTTTAAGCAAATTTCTCGTATTCGTACATTTGTGTTGTGTGTTATGTGGGCCTGAAGACCTTACAGAACTGAAATTGAAATATTGATATGATGAATTTCTCTTTAGTTGTTGATTTATTTCTTTATCCTTGATCGGTTCCCAATTACGCAGATCGATGTTCATAATGTTGATCACTGGATTGTCTGGTCCAGACTCGATTATTTACGACCGCCGCCATATAGCTGGAATATTGCTGAGTGCGGCGTAAAACTAAACTCACTCACTCACTCTTTATCCATGAGACCGCCTCCGTGGTGTAGTGGTTAGAGCGTCCACCCGGAGAGCGGAAGATCGTGGGTTCGATCCCCGAATGGAAACTCCCCTAAGTTTCCTTTAATTTGATTAGAAGCATATGTAGACGAAATGGCTTAAAATAAGAAAAAGTTTTTCTTTCATATTTTTATTCATAGCAAATGATAATACAATAATCAAAATGGTTAACTAGTACACTGCACTAGTTCATGGATTTCTGAGTTTATTGAAGCTTCAGTAAGTGACCTGCTGCGTCCAGGAACTGAAAAGCCGATCTTCTTCCACTTCCAAGCTGCTGTCTCAGTCGGTTGAGACGCTGGTCAAGATCTCTGTAAGCTCGTGAGCGTAGCCGAGATGTTGCACCATGGTCAATCTGAAGGCGAGTGATCTTGTTGGTGGATTCAGTCTTCTTGGTAGCTGTTATGAATTCATGAATGTTCGAATGGTGCTTTTCCAGGCCATTATGGAAGCCTTCCAGGTGATTGTTTGTTCTGGGACCAGTGTTGTTGTGTTTCATTCCAGAGACGTGGTGGAAATCTTGCATCAAAGTCAACAAAGGTGCTGGTGACGTAGTCGTTGATCTGGGTGTTGCCAACTGCTTCTGGACTTTGGTTCAGTACATCTACCCAGACATCTTGCACTTGGTCGAGGGGGAGGAAGGGAAGGGCTACTGCTGTACGGACATGTGACTGGACTGATGGAATTGTGTTGTAGGAAGGAGCTAGACCCCTCTCAGATACATGACGCCAAAGAGCTTGTTTGAAGCGGAAAAAACATCCACGGACATCTGCATCGGAAAACACTGTCTCAACAGCAACAATAGCAGCAACTTCAAGGTCAGTCTGGATAACCTTAGGTGACAAGTTCACTCCAACTGTAGTAGCAACTTAGTCCTTCAGGTGTGTGAACAGCCTGGTGTAAGTTACTCTGGTCGTGTTTGGCAGAAGGGAGATCGCCATGGGGTACATCTTGCCTTCTACCATACTGTGGATGACATAACCTGGTGCCATAGACTGGGACAAGCAGAGAAAGTTCCATCCATATACAAAGTCTCAGCTTCAGCAATAATGTCCAACATCTCAGTAGTGGTGAACAGGAGAAGTCTGTCATCTATGCTGTCATCCACCATCAGGAACTGCCTGCCATCTGCTGTCTGTCCATTTGTCCGCCAGGCCAACCTCAGCAAGTGTCCTCGGGATGGAAGGAAGAACCTTGGAGCGCTGACGGTAAAGTCCGGACTTGACACTGTTGACACTGATGTAGTTGCTGCAGCTCCTTCTTCGATAGACTGTATCTCATCATTGTAGATATGCTGGACTTGGTCTATCTGCTCTCGTACTCGTTGTCGGAGGCGGCTGATGAATCTTGCCTGATCTTGCCATTCTCTACTGGCGGATGAGAGTGGGATGTAAGGGGTGAGATGTGATCTCCAATGGTTGACTCCCTAAAGAAAGACAATAATATACTTATCTTTTTACTCATACATTGTGAAACTGACCTTCCTTGATTCCACTAAGTCAAGTCCATTCTCTCAATAGGGGTGCATTTTCTATTTCCCAAAGGCACTGTCAGTCCCCATGGTCCCTAGTATGGTGATCAACCTTCAGTTGTTGGTGATCTATAGCCCGTTTTTATATTGTTGTCTTTATTGATTTATTTTTTATGATAGCGTACTAGTTTTTTTTAATTAAGAGCTGTAATAGTCTAGTATTTTTACTGTCCTGCGATGACAGGTTTTTACGTTCTAAATTTATTGATTTTAATGTTGATATAAAATAAATTGTTCTCGTCACGATATGGCTGCAATATTGCAGCTCACTCACTCACTCACTATTCTCTATTCGCCTACATGTTTTCTGTAGACAAAATGGGACTCAACCTAACTTGACCCTTAAAATCATTATCAAAATGGTATATTTCGTACATAAGCCGACCCCACGATGGGGTCCTAATGGCAGCCAACTCAGACCACAAGACACCTGGCAGTTACCATCTTGGATGTAAAACGTAAGTATGCTTGGTGAGAATAGTATCTAATAAAGATTTTACTGACACCTAATGTTGGAAGGTGTGTTTGTTTTCTTGTTTATCATACGATCACTGTTGGTATCAACAACAAGACGTCATTTTGTGAAATCGGTGAATATAGAAATATGAACCCATGAGAAAATGTACCCACGGTAAATAGAAACTGTAGATTATTTTTTTTATTCGAAACATTCTTTTTTCGGTGTAAACAATAAATAATAACATGTATATATACATGAGTACAGTACACTTTGATTACAGTTGGACGATGTTATTTACAAGTCCTTGCAAGTGAACCCTTCTAACTCGGTGTCACTGTCTTCACCGGCTCCTTGATGGGTCCCTTGGTCGTAATAGTCTTCAGATCTACACATCCTTGGGCATCTTCTTCTTTTCGCATGTCCTGCTTGACTGTGTTGATTTTTCCATTACAAGGGATAAATATTTCAATGTCAAAACAGTTAAGGATTTTTTTTTATAATTTT